AGAGTGTTCCGGAGCCCAAGAACAGTTTGTGCAGCTTTTAAAGGATGTGCGAGAAAGCCAGCGTGGCTGGAACCTAACTGGATTGAGTAAGAGCAACAAGGGGGTGAAGTTGAGAGGAGGCCCGAGAACTCCTCACCGCAGCTGGGAGCCATTGTGAATTTCGGGGTGGACCTGCCAGTGCAGAAGGTCAAAAGACAGGAGGGGAAATGGATCTGAGACTCGGTGCCGGGGATGTATAGAGAAGAGAGGGATGGAGCACTATTGTCAACGCTGCTGGCTGGTTACCAGGGCTTGGTGGTTTCTGGTGTCCAGGGTAAGAAAATGAGTCTAGTTCCACTTCTAGCCTGAGTCCAAATGCTAGTTCTAATGTTTTTTGCTTCTGTGACCATGGGCGGTAAACCCCTCCAGGGCTCACTTTCCTCATCTTCACAGCGGGGCTAAGTGTCACACCTACCTCACTAGGGTGGTTTGTGACAGTTACACAAGACGGATGTAGTAAGAGCCTGGTAAATTCAGGCTGATCACAGGAGGACCAGGCAAGGTTGATCTCAGGAAAGCAAGGGCGCCTTAATATTCGAAGAGCAATGAGATGTAGTTCAGTGTATTAGCAGAAAAAAATGTGAAGAATCAAGGGCTGTACTGCTGGAGAATGAGGTACCAAACCCAGGGTCCAGTCTTTCCCAGGGCCACAATCTGGCCCCAAATCCTTCACTGAGTAAATGGAATTGAGATCTTAAGAGCAGAGCAACCCCAGTCCTGCCCTATGAAGTGATTTCATCCCCCTCTGTGAGTCACTCCCTGACCAGCTTCATTGGCCTTAACCACACACTCAGCGTCCAGAGCTGTGTGTATCTGGCTCCTTTTCATTCAGGTTCCAACTTAAATTTCTTTCTCATCCCTCCTCCCTTCCCCCACAGCTCAGCAACACTAACCAAACTTCTATTTTAATGATAGTAAGTACCAATTTCTTATATGATCTTACTGTTTATCTTTCCAGTTACAGTGGCAGCTTCGTGAGAGCAGGAACTGTTTGTTTCAGTTACTACTGTTTTCCCAGTGCCTGGCACCTAGTAGGGGCTTGACAAATAAATACTGGTTGGAAGGCTGGCTCTCTGTTTCAGCTTGCTGGGGGCTGCTCAAGTGGTCTTGAGGCTTCTCCCAACTGCAGGAATCTTGTTTCTGACTCAGGCTATGGAGAGTTATTACCATTAGGACTTGAAGATTAGGGGGCGCCTGGGTGGCTCAGGTCATGATCCCAGCGTCCTGGGATCAAGCCCCACATCAGGCTCCCTGCTTCTCCCACTCCCACTCCCCCTGCTTGTGTTCCCTCTCTCGCTGTCTCTCTCTCTCTGTGTCAAATAAATAGATAAAATCTTAAAAAAAAAAAAAAAAGACTTTGGAGATTAGGAGAACTTTGGCTTCAGAAGCAAATGTTTTCCCATCAGGAAATGGTAAGATTTCAGTTACGACCTTATGTCCCAACCCCACTTCCATTCAGGAAGAAACTTCAGGGGTAATATAAGTGAATAAGAACTCTACACTCCACTTACACCTCAGCTCCATGTCTCCCATTTTGCTCTTTGGTCTTGATTCTCAGCATACGCTTGTCACCCCAAGCCACCCAGGCTTTCCCTCAAATTACACTGCTTTTTGTTCCCGAGGATGGGGCCCAACTTCAGGCTTGGTGTCAGCCTGTCTTAGTAATGGAAAGTGGACGCAGCTAGTGTGGTCCAGTGCTTGCCTTTGCATTTCTAAATTAGGGGGTGCCGAACGGGCAAGAGGCACATGAAGGAAGGAAGAGTCCAGGAAAAACATAGCCCCTGACCGTTTCTGCCACGACTCGAGTCGCTATTGTGATGTGGTGTTACCTTCAAAGAGCTCTGGCTTACCATCTTTTCTGTCATCCGGCTAGGACCCTTAACCTTAACCATCAGTCTGACAGTAAAATAGCCCAGGTCCTGTTAGAGTGAGTAGGACTTGTGGTTCCCCCATGGGCTTCAGCTTTTTTCTCTAGGTGACATGTTTGCAACCAAGGTCATCCCCAGCCTCCACGAGCTGCCTCTGATGACTTGATATCCCCAGACCTGAGACCCTCCTGTCCCTACCCACTGACCTGCTGCCATTCTTGCAGATAAATTCTGCAACTTTCTCGCCAAGCTCCCAGCAAACTGAAAGTGCCTTCTGTCACCAACTTGTTCAAAACCCCTTTTTAATCCAGTGAGAGTGTGTAAATATTTTAGAAAAAAAATGCAAAACATAACAAATGCAAGAGGTGGCTGTGGTTGTTAATTCACATTATTTCTGCCCCATAACTACCTCTGACAGATGGCTCTGTTACTGGGAAAAGTTCTTAAAACAGCTGACAGTAGATAACCTTTAGTGGGTATTTTCTCTTCTCCAGATGCTCGTCTAAGCTTTACAAGTATTAACTCATTTAGTCCTCCTTATAACCTTATGAAGCTTTTTTTTTTTTTTCGGATGAGACTGAGTCACAAAGGGATTAAGTGATTTTCCCAAGATCATAGCTCCTATTTGGCAGAGCCTACAGCAGTGGCCAAGTTATACTGCCTTCTTAAAAGTACTTCTCAGAAAAACAGCAAACATTCACGCAACAGGTGTTGTGAACACTTTCTATGCATTAGCTCATTCCTACTTACATCAACCCTGTCATTAGGTTTATCTAGTCTAGCATTACAGGGGTGAAATTTTAAAATAATTTTTGAAATTTTAACATACAGAATATTGTAAAAACAACAAAAAAATCAATTGCAGCAGTTTAAGAGGGTAAGTCTCACTGGCATCCCTGACGTTCCTGTACTTTTTTTCCCCACCATGTTTTTTGGAAGCTGAGTGGTGGTATGAAGGGGTGGGGCCCCATCCAGCGAGGGTCAAGGTGTGAATGGGAAAGGCTTCATTGGTCATAGCATTCTTTATGGCAAGAAAAATACTTGAAAATAAACCCGATGCTGGTCACAAATAGGAGACCAGTTCAATAAAATGTCACCCTTGAACTCCCTGGGCTTCAGCTTTCTTCATCTGTAAAATGGGGGTAGTAAGGGAACCCACAACATTCAGTTATTAGGATTAAATGGATTAATACATGTAAATCACCATGAGTCCAGCATATTATCCAATAAATGTTCGTGGTTACACGTTTGTGCAAACAGTTTATTCTTTAGCAATCATCAAACAAGATATTTAAAAACACACCCATAGGGGCCCCTGAGTGGCTCAGTCAGTTGAGTGTCTGCCTTCAGCTTGAGTCATGATCCCAGGGTCCTGGGATTGAGCCCCACGTTGGGCTCTCTGCTCAGCCGGGAACCTGCTTCTCCATCTCCCTCTGCCTGCTGCTCCCCCTGCTTGTGCTATCTCTGTCAAATTAACAAATACAATCATTAAAAAAAATTTAGGGGAGCCTGGGTGGCTCAGTCGTTAAGCGTCTGCCTTCAGCTCAGGTCATGATCCCAGGATCCTGGGATCGAGCCCCGCATCGGGCTCCCTGCTCAGCGGGAAGCCTGCTTCTCCTTCTCCCACTCCCCCTGCTTGTGTTCCTGCTCTCTCTCTCTCTGTGTCAAATAAATAAATAAAATCTTTAAAAAAAGTTTTAAAAAGACACCCACAGCTTAGTTACACGGACAAGGGAGGTGCTCTGTCGATACAAAACAGAGTGGTCTATTTTTGTTAGAACACACAAAGCGCAATACATGTTTTGGCTGTGTCTCCTCATTTCAAGTGGCTTTAAAACTGTTCAGATTATTGTATGTTATAAAATACAGTGTGAAAAAAAGTTTTGAGAATTGTGGCGGTTAATGAATGTTAAGATCCAATAGGAAGCTACTAAACTTTCGTATCTCAATTTTGTAAGTTCTGTTAATCCTGACCACATGAAGATGAATAGTTAGAGGGGCACCTGGCTGGCTCATTTGGTAGAGCATGCAACTCTTGATCTCAAGGAAATAAGTTTGAGCCCAACATTGGATGTAGATTACTTAAAAAAAAAAAAGATGAGGGGTGCCTGGGTGGCTCAGGTGCTGGGCATCTGCCTTCGGCTCAGGTCATGATCCCGGGGTCCTGGGATTGAGCACCGCATCGGGCTCCCTACTCAGCGGGAGGTCTGCTTCTCCCTCTCCCACTCCCCCTGCTGTGTTCCTTCTCTCGCTGTTTCTCTCTCTGTCAAATAAATAAATAAAATCTTAAAAAAAAAGATGAATAGTTAAGAGTTGCAACTTCCTGTTAGAGTTGAAGTAAGGATGGTTCAGATAGCCTCTTGGGATCCAAAGCCTGTTGTGCCTACTTAATGTCTTCTGCTTTTCGAGACTCACGCCCAGACCCCCCCCACACACACACCCCCATCACAAAACAGACTCTTCTCATCCCAGGGTTGTATGGAGGCCTGTCAATCACTTTAAGAACTGGAGAACAGGGGTGCCTGGGTGGCTCAGTCGGGTAAGCGTCCGCCTTCGGCTGGGGTCATGATCCCAGGGTCCTGGGATGGAGCCCCGGGTCGGGCTCCTTGCTCTGCGGGGAGCCCGCTTCTCCTTCCCCTCCCTGCTCGTACTCTCTGTCTCTCCTTCTCTCTCTCTCAAATAAATAAATAAAATCTTAAAAAAAAAAAAAAGAACTGGAGAACAGCCTAGGAGCCTCTGCATATGTGATTATTTTTGATGCTATGGCAAGTGATCGGCAGTGATGATGGGGTCCCTCCTATGCTTCAGATCTTGCTTGGCCAAGATTGTGCTCCTAAGAATCAGTTTATTCCACGGTTTCAAAAGAAAGTCGTATTTCTTAATTTTTAGTGATTCGCATACTCTTCCCTGTCTCTCTGGCCCTTGGATATTATTTTTGTGTATACAAAAAATGCCATTAGGGACTGGGGGTGGGTAGAACTTAAGGGGTGGAGCCTCCATCCTGTGCCGGAAGCTACTGTCCCATAGCGCGCTTGCGTCGTTCTCCCACGCCCTGGGAAGGATTCCTATCCATTCGCTCTGTGCTTGGCAGCTCTTCCTGGCAGCAGGCGGCCATCTTGCCTGGAGCTTGAGAGAGGGAGCAGAGAGAAGGAAAGGGCGACACTGGTCTCAGGGCCGCCCCGGGGGCCTCAAGAGCCGGAGGCAGCCCCGGAGGTGGTCTCTGATCCCGGGTCCTGCTCTTGAACCCGAGAAGGGAAGGAGGAGGGCGGGGGGAACAAGATGGATGGGGAATGCCAAGAAGGATTGCTAGACGGGAGGAGGGGCGTCGCTATGGTGACCGGGGAGGGGCGGGATCAGATCTGAATCGCTGTTGTGTCTTCCGGGAACTGCCCGGGAAGGGCAGGGCTGGGGTGATGAACATGCTAGCTGCCGGGTGGTATTTCGCGACGTCCCGGCGTCGAGGGACTCGGTGTCTACGGCAACGATCGCCTGGCGGAAGGGGAGAAATTAAATCCCTTCACTTGAAACGCTGACATTCCAGGCCCTTGTCCTGCAGGCTCCCGCGGGGGGACACGCCAGAAGAGGAGGCCGGGGAATGGCCGCGGTGTGGCAGCAGGTCTTAGCAGTAGACGCGAGGTGAGGCGTGGGGTCGAAGCCCATGGGAGCGGAAGTTACTGTGGTGCATGCGCAATGGAGATAAGTGAGGCTGGGCGGAGAACTTGCCTTATGCGGCTGCGTGGGCATGCCGGAGGTGAGCATGCGCAGTAGCAGGGTGTGGGGGCTTACCTGCAGAGACGGGCTGGCAAGAGGGTCCTGAAGAGCATGCTGGGAAAATGCAGTCAGATCTGGGCATGCGCAAAGAGGCTGTGCTGTCAGAGCCTTTGGGAGGGGGTGATGGAGCTCAGGCTGGTGACATCCTATTCCCCACCATTGCCCCCTCCTCCGCAGACTTCTCTTACCATCATCACTTCCCCAATCTGACCCCATCACCATCCCATACTGACTTCCACCATTGCCCCACACTGACCCCCACCACCATGTCACCCTGAGCCCTACTATTGTCTACACTGACACCTCATACCAACTCCCGCAAAGCTGCAGGCGGCCTCCATTTTCCCCACAGTGACCTCATCGCCATGCCCTTTATTAGTGTAGACCCACCCTCATCACAGCACCAGAGGGACCCCAGTCACCACTGCTGATCACTTGCCATCCTGACCCCTCACTGCCACACACCTCACTCTCTTTCCCCATCCCCCGAGCTGATTGATTCCCTCTATCCTGTGCCTGCTGCCCACCCTGCCTCCCGCCATCATAGGTACAACGCGTACCGCACACCAACGTTTCCACAGTTTCGGACACAGTACATCCGACGGCGCAGCCAGCTGCTGCGGGAGAATGCCAAGGCTGGGCACCCCCCAGCACTGCGTCGGCAGTACCTGAGGCTGCGTGGGCAGCTGTTGGGCCAGCGTTACGGGCCCCTCTCCGAGCCAGGCAGTGCCCGTGCCTATAGCAACAGCATCGTTCGCAGCAGCCGAACTACCCTAGACCGCATGGAGGTGAGCTGCTCCCCACACTGCCTGCCACGCACGCCACCTGCCTCCATATACATTCACTCAGCAGACTTGTCGGGCACCTGTTATGTGCAAGGCACCGTGCCAGGCTCTTAGGATAAGCAGGGGGCAGAAAGAGATAATATATGCTAAGTCAATAAACGGACAACAGACAAGATGAACAGGTTGATAAATAGGCAATAAACAAGATAAATAGGTCAATAGACAAGCGAAACCAGATAAATAAATCACTAATTAACATGGCTTATAGCGAGGAGTGCTAAGATGGAAAAGTAAAGCAGACTTGGGGGGATAAAATGAGACTCGTGGGGGCAGAGGGAAGCTATGTCTGATGGGGATGATCAGGAAAGGCCTCTCCGAGGAGGTGACAGTTGAGCTGAGACTGCGATGAAGCAAGAGATGGTGCTGAGTGGTTTTCAGGGGGAAAGTGTCCGTTCTTTCTCCACAGAACATTTATTGATTATCAGCCGAGTGGGGAGCTAGTGCAGAAACTACGGCCGTAGTCCAGGCCATGGTGGTGGTGGTGGGTAGGGTGAGGAAGGATCTGGTTCTGGGTATATATATATTTTTTAAGTTTTTATTTATTTACTTGAGAAAGAGAGCATGAGAGGGGGGCGGGTCAGAGGGAGAAGCAGACTCTCCGCTGAGTAGGGAGCCTGATGTGGGGCCCGATCCCAGGACTCCAGGATCATGACCTGAGCCGAAGGCAGTCGCTCAACCGACTGAGCCACCCAGGCGCCCCTGGTTCTGGGTATATTTTGAAGACTCCAGACCTCACAGGTTCTGGAGGACTGTTTTCAAGATGTGCCCACCCTGACCCTCTGTTTGCAGGACTTTGAGGATGATCCTCGGGCCCTGGGGGCCCGTGGGCACCGCCGTTCCGTCAGCCGAGGCTCCTACCAGCTACAGGCACAGATGAACCGTGCTGTCTATGAGGACAGGTATGCACAGGGGCGGCTGTGAGCCGGGGACTTGTAAGGGGGAGAGGGGCCGTGGGGGCCTGAATGCTAGCACCTACCTCATGTTACCTACCCCCCACTCCTGTTGGGGCCCAGGCCCCCTGGCAGTGTGGTGCCCACATCAGCGGCAGAAGCAAGTCGAGCCATGGCTGGGGATACGTCGCTGAGTGAGAACTACGCCTTTGCGGGCATGTACCATGTTTTCGACCAGCACGTGGATGAGGCAGGTAAGCCAGCATGTTAGTGGGTCCCCTCACCACTCATTTGCCTAAACTGTGACAGCTACTTAGCGTGTCCTTTCCTGGAACGCAGAGTCTCTGGCCCACCTCCGAAGGAGGAGTTGCCATCCCTAAACCTTTCCCCAAGCCCACAAGCCCTCCGCAAAATAAAGCGGTCTGCAAGATCTCAAGTACTTGGGCTATCGTAAAAGGGCTCGGCAGCTCAAAAGAGGGCTTGGCAGGAGGCTTCTGGGGTCGTGAGTTGCTTGGAAGGGTTCAGAGCCTTCGCTACAGAGAAATCCCCTTACAACAGGCAGCGCAGGTTTTGCAAACCGCGAAGATGTTGGTAATTGTAAAGCGCTGGCTACAATTTAGGGAGCTTTTGGCAGAGGGCCTTCTCGGGTTCCCACTCCCGTTCTCAGCCAAGGAAAGCCCTTGGCGCAGGCCCCTGTGCTTGGCGCAGTGGGTCCCAGCCCCCAGCCCCCCGTGGCAGAGCCTCTTATAAACGAAAGCGCCCGGTGAGCGTGCCGAGTCGCACCGATGGCTTCTTGGCATTGCAGTCCCAAGGGTGCGCTTCGCCAACGATGACCGGCACCGCCTGGCCTGCTGCTCTCTCGACGGCAGCATCTCCCTCTGCCAGCTGGTGCCCGCCCCGCCCACGGTGCTCCGCGTGCTGCGGGGCCACACCCGCGGCGTCTCCGACTTCGCCTGGTCCCTCTCCAACGACATCCTCGTGTCCACCTCGCTCGATGCCACCATGCGCATCTGGGCCTCTGAGGATGGCCGCTGCATCCGAGAGATTCCTGACCCCGATGGCGCCGAACTGCTCTGCTGCACTTTCCAGCCGGTCAACAACAACCTCACTGTGGTCAGGCTCTGGGGTGCCCGCTTGCCGAGGGCGGGGCTGCTGGGCCAGGAGAGCTGTCCCAGGGAGTCAGTATAGGGGTGGGGTGGGGGGGGTCCCCTCTAGTTCCTCACCACGGTCTTCCTGTGGTCAGACTCAGAGGGAAACGGGTCAGAACAGGGACACCGTGCTTGGTGGGGTGGGGGGGGCTTGCTGTGACAGACTCCACGGGGGGACTGGTCAGGAGGCAGGGTCCCGGCTCTGGTACCCCTTTGGGTCCCATCAACAGCAGTGCTGCCGTCTTCCAACCCCGGGGGCTGCTGGTCGCCAGGCAGGATGACTTAGTCGGAAGGCTTGGCTCATCCCAGTGGCACAGCTCCACTGTGGTCCGGCCCCAGGATGGAGAGTCGGAGGGTGGGGGAAAGAAGTGAAAATCTGGCCTGGCCCTGAGCGGGAGAGAGGGGACTGGCTGAGTGAGCCTGTGCTCTGGGATCCCTCCTGCTGCAGCACCGGCCCCAGTATAGTCAAGCGTCCGGCAGGGACCAGGCAGGAAGGAGACCAGCTGTCATTACCAGCCTAGGATGGCCCTGTGGTTTGCCTGTCACGGGGGGTGCTGGCTAAGGGGCAGCTGGCCGTCCTGGTTAGATGGCAAGAGGGGCTGGCTCTAAAGGATCGCAGGCCTCGGTCACCTCCCAGTCTACCCGCCACAGCCCCCCCCCCCACCGGGATTAGACTCTAGTAGGAGCCCGCCAGTTCCATCGATAGCAGCTCCATTATGGTCAGACCTAAGGAGGGACTGGCTGAGAGCAGGATGATGGTGCGCCGGTCTCGCCCACAGGTGGGGAATGCCAAACACAACGTGCACGTCATGAACATCTCCACGGGCAAGAAAGTGAAGGGTGGCTCCAGCAAGCTGACGGGCCGGGTCCTCGCTCTGTCCTTCGATGCCCCTGGCCGGCTGCTCTGGGCAGGCGATGACCGTGGCAGTGTTTTCTCCTTCCTCTTCGACATGGCCACAGGTAGGCAGGCCCCAGGCCTGCATCTGGGTATTGGTGCTGCCACCGTCCCAGCGCACAGCACCCCTCCCCCCCCCGCTTATTTTGCCTCCTCTCCCCCTGTCGTTCCAGGGAAACTGACCAAAGCCAAGCGTCTGGTGGTGCATGAGGGGAGCCCTGTGACCAGCATCTCCGCCCGTTCCTGGGTCAGCCGCGAGGCCCGGGACCCCTCGCTGCTCATCAATGCTTGCCTCAACAAGCTGCTGCTCTATAGGTGGGTCTTCCCTATCCGGGCTGCCTGGAGAGGCAGGGCCCACCGCCGCCATCAGACTGGGATGGCAGCCCTGGCTCCTCGTCAGAGGAAAACCTATAGGGCCTCAGGGCCGGTCTCCTCCATCAGGTTAATTTGAGTGAGCAGGGAAGTCGGGTCTCCTTATGATAGTGCTGGGTATCAGTGGGAGGGGTGGTGACGGGAGTAGCTGATGCTTACATAGAAAGGGCTGCTACCAGGCCCCGTGGAAGCACCTTGTACAGAGCACTCCACTTAATCCTCAGAACAGTGCTGTGAGGAGGGGGCTGTGATCATGCCCATTCTACAGATGAGCAGCCTGAGGCATAACAGAGACTAGGGCCCTCTTGGAGCAGTGGTCCTTCCTTCGTTCCTTCCATCCTTCCTTCCTTCCTTTTTTTTTTTTTTTTCCTTTTCTGATGTTTTTAAATGGAGGAATTTACTGTCCCCACTCACCTATGACTCGTTACCCAAATGCAGTTTTCAGTCTGGGCGGCATGCTGGAATGACCTGAAGGGTTTCACAAGATCATGGCCAGGCCCCGTTCCAGGCCAATGAAGCCCTGCGACGGGACTGGGCACCTTGGTATATTGAAAAGTTCCCCAAGTGATGTCCAGCCAGGCCTGAAAACCACTGCCCGACAGGATGCTTTCTATTCTACTATTTTGTTTTTCTACTCTTTAAAAAAAAAAAAAAATCACACATGCACACAGACATATGTGTAATTTTTAATTTAGGTGTACTCCCAAATGGGGGGCTACCTCCCCCCCCGCAATCCTCTCCCTTCTTTCCTCCTCCCTCCTGCCACCTCGGCCAGCAACTCTGTATGTTCCTTCCTACATTTTGTTCTCTCCCCTGCAACCCGCGGTGTGCGCACCCGCCCCCACACGTCGGAGGGAGGGTCATTGTCTCACGGAAGCTGGCTCCCTCTCCACCCTTTCCCACGTCTCGCTTTCCTCACCAGACGGCGCCTGTTGAACTGCTCCCACGTCCCCTGCAGTGCTGTTGGCTCAGTCGTTCTTTCGAACAGCTCGTCACTTTCCGCATTACAGGCGCGTCCAGTTGGGTCGGCCCTTTCCCCCCCTTGTGCGCGTTTTACCGCCAGGATCTCTAAGAGACCCCTAGAAAGAGAAACTAGTGAGTCATGCTGCAGAGGCTCCCCGTTTCCATCAACAGGTGGCTTCCAAACTGTCATGAACGCACACACCAGCCTGTGCTTGATAGGTATACGCAGTCGTCTCAGAACCAGACTTTGTGAACCTTGAAAAGAACTCGGGCGCCGGGGTGGGGACACAGACCAGCCCGCCCCCCATTCGTTGCCGTCTGGAGCTGAGGCGACGCCCCAACCCGCTCTCATCCTTCCCTCAGGGTGGTGGACAACGAGGGGACACTGCAGCTGAAGAGAAGCTTCCCCATTGAGCAGAGCTCACACCCCGTGCGCAGCATCTTCTGCCCCCTCATGTCCTTCCGCCAGGGGGCCTGTGTGGGTGAGTCCCGCAGAGTCGGGGGTCTGGGTGGCTTGGGGAGGGGCAGGGAGCGGGGCTGGTGCTGATCTGGCTCGGACAGCACAGCCCCCTGGTGCCCAGACTTCATGGGCCTCGAGAACTCCCACACCCCAACAGCCTCCCACTTTGAACAAAGACCCCCAAGAGTCCAGAAACCTCCCAACATGAGACACAGCCTCCCCACCCCCCAAATGGCTCAGAGACCTCACACTCTGGACGCGGGACTAAAACATCTAGGTGACCCAGGTTCAGGGACCGTCCC